ACTACTACTACTACTACTACTACTACTACTACTACTACTACTACTACTACTACTACTACTACTACGAATCCTACTACTAGTCCATGCGCCAACCTGCAACGTGCGCCGTTGAGGCATGGAAACATGCCATCAGGTGTAGGGTAGGGCTTCTGGGCCCGAAGAAGGGTCACCCCCCCTGCCCGCATTGAACTGCATGTACCGCCCCCCTCCCGAAGCCACGATCCAGCGTCCCGAGGCCCCCATCCCTCCTTGCAAAAATACGTCCGCGTCCCGAGCTTCCAAGACTGCCCATGCAGGCAACCAAGGACATCAAGATGAACCCAGATGCCCCGAAGATTGCCCCAAGTGGTCCCAAGGCGACCCAAGACGGCCTCAAGACGGCCCAACGATGCCTACAAGAGGACCCAGAGGAGCCACAAGTGGACCTCTAACAGGGACCGAAGAAACCAACAGCATTGATGTACACCGTTGCTTATGGTCTCCGAATTATCTCTTGTTCGGGCTTCCGCCAGCTCAAGACGATCCGAGACGCCTCCACGATGACCCAAAGACGGCCCTAGAGGCCTCAACGAGGGCACCAAGATGGCCCAAGAGGTCCCACGATGGCCCAGCAGGTATCCAAGACGGCCCCAAAACGGCCCAAGAGAGCCCCTCCCATGGGACCCAAGACGGCCCTGGAAGGCCTTTCGGCAGACACCCACCATACTGCCAAGAGGGACCGAAGACGGCCCAGAAGAGCCCCAAGAAGGCGTAAGAGGGACCCAGAACGGCACAAGAGGACCCCAATGGACGCCCAAGACTGCCTCACCCGAAGCCAAGGAAGCCCCAAAACGGCTGGCCTAAACGAGTTGCACGAGAGCTGCTCAAATAGTGGAGGCGAAAGGCGTCACGTGTGACGGCCTTCATCTCCTCCTCCTCCTCCTCCTCCTCCTCCTCCACCTCCTCCTCCTCCTCCTCCCCTCCTCCTCCTCGCGCCTCCTCCTCCTCCTCCTCCTCCTCCTCCTCCTCTCCTCTTCCTCCTCCTGCCTCTCCTCCTCCTCCGCCTCCTCCTCCGCCTCCGCCTCCGCCTCCTCCTCCTCCTCCTCCTCCCCTCCGCCTCCGCCTCCTCCTCCTCCTCCTCCCTCCCTCCTCCTCCTCCTCCTCCTCCTCCTCCTCCTCCTCCTCCTCCTCCTCCTCCTCCTCATGATTATCACCCTCACTATTGTCAGAATCGTCAGCAATACATCAGCAGCATCACCAGCATCTCGGCCGGCACCCTGCTCGATCTCGGCCGCACGCCGCACGGGCCGCGGCAGGGGACCTCGGACGGCGGCGAGAGACGCTCGGAGGCGAGGACCGCACTGCGCTAAGAGGAGGAGGTGGACACCAGCGACTTGAAGGCGGCGATCGTGAAGGGGCCCCAGGGCACACACAAATAAATACACGCACGAATCAAAGGATTCCCCATATTCTCCCATCTTTTCGGGGTTTCTGTCTTCCCCCCCACTTCCCATAGTTTCCCATATGTTCTGGGAATCGCCGATTGAGTGTGTCTGTGTGTTTTTTCCCCCCCTGAGATCGGGGAAACCATCGAGCGCAGGCAGCGGGCAGGCGCGGCGGGGCGCTGCGCGGGAGCAGGGCCGGAGAGCGGCGCGGGCATTGCACTCGGCGAGGGCGACGCCGCGGAAGCCCGAGCGGAAGGGCACCGCACGAGGTTGGCGGGCACTCGTCTCGTCGCCATCTTGGCGGGCGGGGTCTGGCCGGGGCAGCGGATCGCTGACCTGAGCATGGAGACTGAGGACATCGAGTGCCCCAGGTGCGGCGAGGAGCCAGAGACTCGGAGCACGGGATGTGGAAGCGCAGGTGCAACGAGCTGGTTGGGGAGTGCGAGGGGTCCTTCTGGCTGGTGGAGGAGGAGGAGGAGGAGGAGGAGGGGGGGGCACCGCCGCGGCGAGAGGTGCTGCTCCAGAGCATGCCGAGAGCCAGCTCGGAGATCCGTGGCCTGCCAAGCATTGCGTGGCAGCGGCGCCGTCGAGGGCGGCTCCCTTCGGCGCGGTGGCGGCGCCGTCGGCGCCGATCGGCAACCAGCGCGCCCACCCCTCCCACACGAGCGGATTCGATCAAGACGCTGGAGGTTTCAGTAGGGGCCCTTCCACAAGAAACCTTCCACAAGAGACCCAGCCCTGAGACCACAGGACGTCCACCGATCTCTGGTGCGGGAACGTCGCGCTTCCCATGGCAAAACCATCAAGACCCAAGAAACCCAGGGCACCCTGGAGGCAAGCAGGGCGTTTCTTGGCACGGGCCTCCACTGTGCTGCACGACGCGCGGGGCCTTCGCGCGCAAGACCGCGAAGGGCCTGGCCGAGCCGTGCGAGGGGCACCCGGAGCTGACCGGGGAGCAGAGCTTGGCCAGGAGCGCGAGGGGCCTCCCGCCTGGCGGGTCGGTCCACGCGAGGCTGCACAGCGCTGCCAGGATGAAGGAGTGAAGTGATCGGGGGCGCCCGAGAGGGGGGCGTCCGAGAGGGGGAGGCGCAAATCATGGCCGGCGGCATGTGCGCGGCCCTGAGGGGGGGGCCGGGGACGTCTCGAAGCGAGAAGAGGCGCCATGAAGTCTGGGGAAATATCATGGCCCCCGCCATGATATCCACCCCCCCCTAGTCATCACCCCCCTCTTGGCCGCCCCTCAAGTGAGCTACGGATTACTCGCGCGCCGCCGTTTGTGGCGCCGTCCGCCCAACTCCGCCGAGCCTCGGCCGTGGCATTCGCAGGAGCTCTGTCACAAAGAATCGTCATAATCATCATCACCAGCATCAACACCATCATCACCACCATCGTCATCATCATCATCATCATCATCATCATCATCATCATCATCATCATCATCATCATCATCATCACCATCATCAACCATCATTACCATCATCATCATCATCATCATCATCATCATCATCATCATCATCATCATCATCATCATCATCATCATGATCATCATCATCATCATCATCATCATCATCATCATCATCATCATCATCATCATCATCATCATCATCATCATCACCGCCATCACGACTCTCCCACCCTCGAACAGTCGCCACCCAAAATGCTGGGCTGGCACGTTGGCGGGACAGGCCGCAGGAGCAGCCGGATAGATACCTGATCCCTGTCACACCTTCAGACGTGTCGGCCGGGCGGGCCGGGCGTTTCGCCCGAGATTGTCTCGCAGTGCATGGTGCTGAAGCTTGAAATTTGCAACAGCTTCAAGGATCGAGAGCAGCTCCTTTTCAAAATGCGGCTCTCGCCTTAGCGCCGCGCACATTCTTGATAAAAGTGTGCAACCGTTTCACTGATGGAGGGCGGCTCCTTTTTCAAAATGAGGCTCTCGCCTCTGGGCCACGCACGGTTGTCTTAAACGTTTTCACAGCTGTTTCAAAGGACTCGTATGGTGGAGTCTCAAGAATGGCGTTCTGGCACGGTTTGTCAGGACGCAACAGTCACGTTTCTTCGCGGCGTTGGACGTCCCAGGAATGGCGTTCTGGAACGATTTGGGATTGTCAGGACGCAACAATCGCGTTGATTCGCGGCGTTGAAGTCCCAGGAATGGCGTTCCGGAACGATCTGGGATTGTCAAGACGCAACGCCCACGTTGATTCGCGGCGCTGAAATCCCATAGATAATGTCCTGGCACGATTGAGTATCCTCAGACGATTCGGTCGCAATCGGGCACCCCTTGGAGGGAGGGTTCCTTGCAGCATCGTTGATGCGTCTCGAGGCCACGCTGCTCCTCGTCCTCCTTGCATCCCAACATGGGCAGATCCCCCCTGCATCCCGCCTTGATCAGGCTCCCGAAGGTGTGGGAGCCCGTGATGACGGACCCACCCTCCGTCAGCTTCTGCAGGGTGCTGGTCAGCAGCTCGATCCTGGCGCGGCGGGGGGCAGAGCGAGGGGGAGGGGGAGGGGGAGGGGGAGGGTGAGGGGGAGGGCGAGGAGGAGGAAGGAGGGGAGGAGAGGAGGAGGAGGAGAGGGGGGGCGGCGAGGGGAGGGCCGAGGAGCAAGAGGTCGGGGAGCCGCGGGGCTCGAGCGGCGGGGCCTCGCGCCCGACAAGGGGCATTCAGACATGCAGGCCTCGGAACAAAAAGCCTCCTCCTCCTCCCTGCTCCCCTCCTCTCCCCTCCCTGCTCCTCCCTCCTCCTCCCCCTCCCTGCCCTCCTCCTCCCCCTCCCTGCTCCTCCCCTCCTCCTCCCCCTCCCCTCCTCCTCCTCCCCTCCCTGCACGCCACAGGCGTCGGTCAACGCCTCCTCCTCCCCCCCCTGCTCAGAGTCGGCGGTGGGCCTGACGGGTTGCGCTTCGACCGCAGTCTCCCCCGCGCCTGCCACCGTCGAGTCCGGAAGAGCGGGGGAGTGCCCACCGATGAACTGCTTCCCCCCCACGGTACGGCGGGACCCGGTGTGAGGTTTGGCACGGGATCCCGCTGCAGACACCTCACGAAACCTGGGATCCTCCTCCTCATCCTCCTCCTCCTCCTCCTCCTTCTCGTGCTCCTCCTCCTCCTCCTCCTCCTCCTCCTCCTCCTCCTCCTCCTCCTCCTCCTCCTCCTCCTCCTCCTCCTCCTCCTCCTCCTCCTCCCCCTCCTCCTGCAGACACCTCACGAAAACTGGGATCCCCAGGACTCTCTCTATGCAGTCACATGTCCCGAGGGGCCTCCCGAGGGAGGAGACCGCCCGCAGGGCCACCGTTGGCGGCCTGCTGAGGCCAGCCTGGACAAGGCCCACCCTCCACCACACCACAAAGCCGAGCATCCAGAAGGACGCGTGGGCAAGAAGAGCGCGCGGTTGGCAACTCTGCAGGTGCAAGGCAAACGCTGCCAACTGATCGCGCGTGCAGGGGAAACTCGACCAGGGGGAGCAAGCGGAAAAGGGAAGGATCTCGATCCGATGGAGGGTGGACCAGGCCCACCCTCCTTCGGATCGAAACCTCGAAACCTGGACCTCCGACTCGCCGACTGGATCTGGGCGTTGGCAGAACTGGGTTCAGTGGGACCTGGTTTAGTTCGGGGGCCCCCAAACGGTGCGGTGACCACACCGTGTGGTGAGCCAGTGGGGATTCGGGGTCACCGCGTGGTTTTGGGACTCGGGTCGTTCTCCGAGGACGTCTCAGCCGACAGGGGCCTCCGAGGTCCTAAGACCGTGCGGTGACGGACCGTGCGGTGAGGTCTTGGGGGATTTCGAGGTCACCGCACGGTACGCGTACAGACGGGCCTAGGACAGAAGAACACCCTCCAAGAGCCTGAGGCCCTCCGCCGGCCAAAACAGACAGAACATCTCCAAGGGCACCCTCCCCAGGATGCACCAAAACATCCAACAAGCACGAAGAACATTAGAGCACCCTCCCCGAACCGAGCTCGATCTTATTAATATTATTCCTCGGTCCGACCGTACGACGGCCCGGTGCGAGAAGGCACGGAGAAATGTGCGCAACGCACGGGCAGAGGATAAGAAGTCGGGCCAGCCGCGGTTTCCAGAGATCTGACACCAATCACCGCTCCCCCGTTCCTCGCAATCGCTCGGACGTCCATTCCCCGTGCTTTTTTCGATCTCATGCGTTATGTTTCGTCAAATGATCCGATATGCTCCTCGATGACCTTCGCCGAGAAAAAAAACAACCAAAAAAAAAACAAAAAACTCCGAGCGATGCCAAGGTTCCAGAAGAAGCATTCCTGCCAACGCATTGCCCAAAGTCTTCCGCTGCCTGAGAGAGGGCACGCTTTGACTGCACGCCTCCTGAGCCCAGGAAAAACACGCCTTGGACAACAAAAAAAAAGCCTGGACCTCTCGACCGTGTCGTGGTGCGGCGCTCCTCTCCATCCGCACCGATCCGTGCGGTCGGCGCACGGGCCTGGGATGGACCAAGCCGTCCGCCCACCGCGACGTTTCATGAGCGCACTTTTTTGGGGCTCGAGATAACAATCGCGAACTACCATTACTGGCCCTGGCCGCCCCCCTCCCCCCCCCAGGGCAACGTCACCGTTCGTGTTGGCCTCCGAGCTGGCCTTGGCCTTTCCCCGGCGCTCCTGAGCGGCGCCGCCGCGATCGGGGATCTTCTGACCCGGGTCAATCCAGACCCGGGTCAGCAGGAAACCAAAAACTGCAATGCAGGAACAAAAAACTGCAACGCAGGTCTTCGCAAACCCGGGTCAGCCAATATGTGCGGCCGCCTCGCGGCCACGAGCGGCTCGCTAACCCGGGTCAGCCAGAGGGGGTCTCCGCAGGATCCTGCAGGATCTGGCGCCCTGGCTGACCCCCGTCTGCATTGACCCCCGTCTCTTGGCTCCCGACGCGAAGCGTGACGTTAATTACCGGCCCCCCCGCCCCCCTCCCCCCCGCCCGGGGGCGCCCGCCGTCGCCCAGGACCCAAAAAAAACGCGCGTCCTGGCGCCCGGACCTCAGGCCCCCGCTTTCTCCGTTTGGCCTTCCAAGCCACCACTCGGGCCCTGGCGGAGCGACGACGACGACGACGACGACGACGACGACGACGACGACGACGACGACGACGACGATGGCGACGATGGCGACGACGACCACGACGACGACGACGACGGCGACGGCGGCGACGGCGGCGACGGCGGCGGCGGCGGCGGCGGTGACGACGACGACGGCGGCGACGACGACGACGACGACGACGACGACGACGGCGACCACGACGGCGACATCTGGACCGCGATGGCGCACCTGCCGATGCGCACGCACGCCTCCACCACGGAGGACAGCAGCACCTCGCCGCCGCGCACCCGCGCGCGCGCGCCGCCGCCGCCGCCGCAGGCGGGAGAGCCCGCCGCCGCGCTGGGCCCAGGAGGCCTTCCGACGGTCGCAAAAGCAAACGTTTTCTCATTCGGCGTTTCGCCATTGGGCGGAGGGGGGGGGATCTGGCTCCGGAACCTCTGCTCCATGAGATTGTTCGCAGCAGGGCGTCGTATGGGGGAGACTCCACCTGCTTTAAGCAGGCGCCACAAACAGCCAGGATCTACTCCATGGTGGGGGGGTGGGGGGAGGGGGTACGAGGGTCCGCGCCGATCGGCGAAACAATGAGTAAGAAAACAACCACAAAGTTATCAGAAGATGCGCTGGTTCTCGAAGGTGTAGAACATGTTCCCTCTGAACTTTCGGCGGCGAGCCAAGGGGGAAGTGAGAATTCGGACGCCCGAAATGGGTACGGAAAGAATGGGAACAATGCCCAACAATAAATGTTGTCCCAAACCAACAGCGGCCGCTGTTGGGCAAGCGGCTTTCTGTCTCAAATGGACACAGGCCGCGGCGGCGCGGACAGCGAGTCCTGTTCAAAATGAACAGAAACTGCTGATGGGCATCGTACCCATTCTTTCGTTCGTGCCGAGAGAAGGGGCGGGCCTTCGCAGAAGGCTCGGAGGTCCCCCGGGCTTCTCAGAAGTTCTCTAAGCCTCCCCCGAAGACACAGAAAAGCACTCGCAAGGCGCAAGGGCTTCCGAGAAGTCACGCCGCCTTTGGAGAAGGCCTTTTTCTTCTCACGCCCCCCCTCGCTCGCCGCCGAAACGTGTCGCAAATTTCTGAGAAGTGCGCTGTTCTTTTACATGTTTCCCGTGAGGTTTGCCCTGGCTGTCGGAAGGTTCCCTCTGAAAATGCCTTAGCATGGGGGTAACTGGTCCAGAGGGGAACGGGTCCTCGACCTCAGGTCCTTCCCCACGACCAATTGCATCCTGCATCAATTTCTGACGCTCCCGGGGCCCGTGGAGGGCCCCCAGAGACCGAAAACGGCAGGACCCGTTTCTCTCAGGACCCGCTTCCCCCACAGCGAACGTCGTAGCGGATGTCTCCCCTGGAGTCGGCGGCGAGGGAGGGCGGGAAATGAGGAGAAGGCCTTCTCAGAATGCGGCGGTCGGGCAGGTTTTAAAACCTATCTCAGAAGGCCGTGGGACTTCCGAACCTTCTGAGCAGGCCTCTTCTCCTTCTCACCTCACTTCCCCCCCGTCGCTCGCCGCCGATGGAGGCCTGCCTGGGGAGGCCAGAGGTACCGATACCGCCACTCCCTGGACCTCTCCCGGGGTGCGTCCTGACCCGTACAGTCGGGGCATTGACCTAAGGAACCCTAAATAAGGAACGAGGCCCCTTTTTCCATAAGTTAACCTTCGATTTCCGGTCGAAAACATTAGGAAAGCCTGAGGCAAGCTGTGAAACACTTAAGGAACGCGGAGCCCCTCCCCAATGAAAAGGGTTCCTTCTTCAGGGTCCCGACTGTATTCTGAGGCGGATCCAGCGGTGGCGACGAGGGCCTCCCAGGAGGGCCTCAGCGGGGGGCGAAAAACGGGGGGAAGGCGAGGGCCGAGGAGGAGGGCCAAGGAGGAGGCCCCCACGGGGGAAGACGCGGGAGGAGTGCAGCGGCAGGGGCACCTCTCCCTCCTCCGAGCCCCGGCTCGCAGAGGCGCTGGGGGGCCCCAGCCGTACCAGCCTCGAACTGATCCCTATCCCTAAGATCCCCAGCATAGGGACAGGAGATGCTGAGACTCCATATTCCTAAGATTCCCCATCCCCATCCCCAAGACCCCTTATGCCTATCCCTATCCCTATCCCTATCCCTGAGACCCCTATGCCTAAGATTCCCAGCATAGCCGTGAGGAGGAGATGCCCAGCATCGGGATAGGGATATGCTCCAGGCTGGGTTAACCGCCGCGGCGCGGGCCCCGAGGGCGTGCTCCCAGGGGGCGAGAGCCCGCCCGGCCCCGAGCGGCCGCCCCGAAGATGCCCGGGCGGCGGCCCCGGGAGAGCCAGACGGCCAGGCGCGGGGAGGTGCGGTGCCCGAGGCTTTTCTCCTGGCCATCGCTCGGACGTCCCTTCCCTGTGTTTTTTTCGGCTTCGTGCGTGTTTTTTTTCGCCACATGATCAGGGATGCTCCTCGATGGTCCTCGCCGAAGGAAGAATGCACACGTCCGAGCGATGCCAAGTCTCTGGGGTTCGGAGGCAGCTGCTGGGAGGTCTTCCTCGGAAAGACTAGGGAGGATTCAAGCCCCATGTGGGAGCTATCACGCCGGAGTGGGCCCCGGATGCAGCGGGATTGAGCCGGATTAAGCGGGATGAATCGGGGTTGAGCGGGATTGAGCCGGATCAAACGGGATCAAGCCGGATTTAAGCCGGGCTTCGGACCAGTGCAAAATCAGAATTTGACCTCCCAGGAGTTGCATCCCAACTGGGGTGCACAAAGACATCCTAGTACTCTACGTTCTCCTTGGAGGCGCGCGTCCGACCCAAACATGTAGTACACCCATCTTGTAGTGTATCGTTTCTCTAGAGTTGTGGCCAGGAAGCGCCCGCCACGACGCATATACTATAAGAATTCTCGGTGCGCACGTCGCCCCTGGGGGGGACGACGAACACATAGTATAAGTATGTTGGGGGGACGCCGATTCTCGGGGGCGAGATCCGTGGGGGGCGAAGCCCATCGGTCGGAAGCACTGGGATGGGCTGGATGCGGCCCGTGTGAGTACAAGATTTCTGCCGCTGCTTCTCTAAAGGCTCCGCTCGGAAGGCCATGCTCAAGAAGCACACGTAGAGACATCACACAACCTGACATGATAATAAAAAAAAAACACCTTGGTGCAGATGACATAATACACTCAAATATTCCCAAAATTGGCTGTTTTCTGATTGTGCCCCATTATGCGCGTGACCCAGCAAGAACAGGGCGCCTGCCAGGCGTCGCGCTCGGAAGAAGTAGGTAGTCCGTCCGCCCCCTGAAGAGGACGGAAAATGTGAAGCCGCTCGATCATTGAAGTGGGAGGGCGCTCATAAAGTAGATTGGAATCTGGGAATCCGAAAATTCCCTACTTTCAATGACCGATGGGTAATCTGGACGCCCGAAATCGACACGGACAAAATTGACACAATGCCGAACAACAAATGTTGTCCCAAACCAACAGCGGCCGCTGTTGGGCAGGCGGCTTTTTGTCGTCAAAGGTCAACGTCCGCGGCGGCGCGGACAGCGAGTCCCATTCAAAATGAACAAGAACTGCGGTTGGACATTGCACCCACTCTTTCCGCAGCCATTTCTATCGTTCCGAGATAAGAGTGAGAGGAAAAGGTACCCATACCACTACCCTTCGCCCAATTTCCACTTCTTGGCCCACCTGGTAGACCCTCGTCGCTACCGCTGGATTCGCCTCGAAATCCTGGTCCGAACGCACCCCGGGAGAAGTCTGGGGAGTAGCGGTATCGGTACCTTTTGGTCTTCCCAAATTGGGAGGGGAAGGAAGGTGTACTTTTCGGACCCCCAGGCCCCCCTCTGGGCCCTAAAGGGCCCACTCAGGGGCCCTCAGCTATTTGGTGGCAGCTAGGTGTCGGACGCGGCGGCTGGGGGGGGGGGTCGGGGGAGTCGAAAGGGTAGGATAGCAAAAGGCAGGGCAAAGAATCAGCTCATGAGGCTGGTTTTTCTGGCGACTCCTGGCGCCGGGAGGCGCCCATGTTTCGAGGAATGGGCCCGGCGGCGGGGCGAAAACCACCTGCATGTAGCAGATGTCGAAACCCCCAAGTCCCTGTCCCCCCCTTGCATCCGGCCCGAGGGGGGGGAGGAGGGCTTTCTCTGCCGCCACGGGCTGGGTTGCCCTGTGGAACGTCTGGCCTGGGCGCATCTCCCTCGAGAGGTCTGGAGGTCGACTGGCAGGGTCAGTCAGCATCGGATCGGGAAAACGGGCGAGATCGGGACGTGCAACGGGAATGGACCCTGCACTGGCCAGGCCAGGCCTGTCTTGGGCCCAGGATGGGAGTAGCGAGGATCGATGTGTGAGTGTGTATACCTGGCGTCATCCTGCGCAAACTCCACCACCTGCTCCTCCTCCTCCTCCTCCTCCTCCTCCTCCCTCCTCCTCCCTCCTCCTCCTCCTCCTCCTCCTCCTCCTCCTCTTCCTCTTCCTCTTCATCTTCCTCTTCCTCTTCCTCTTCCCTCCTCCTCATCCTCATCCTCATCCTCATCCTCATCCTCCTCCTCCTCCTCCTCCTCCTCCTCCTCCTCCTCCTCCTTATCATCATCATCATCATCATCATCATCATCATCATCATCATCATCATCATCATCATCATCATCATCATCATCATCATCATCATCATCATCATCATCATCATCATCATCATCATCATCATCATCATCATCATCATCATCATCATCATCATCATCATCATCATCATCATCATCATCATCATCATCATCATCATCATCATCATCATCATCATCATCATCATCAGCAGCAGCATCATCATCATATTCCTCATCATATTCCTCATCATCATCATCATCATCATCATCATCATCAGCATCATCAGCATCATCATCAGCCTCATCATCATCAGCATCTCATCAGAATCATCATCATCATCATCAGCATCATCAGCATCATAATCATCATCATCATCATCATCATCATCATCCTCATCATCATCCGCATCATCATCATCATCATCATCAGCAGCAGCATCATCAGCATCATCAGCATCAGCATATCGCATCAGCATCATCATATCATCATCATCATCATCATCATCATCATCATCATCAGCATCATCATCATCATCATCATCATCATCAGCATCAGCATCAGCATCAGCATCAGCATCATCATCATCATCATCATCATCATCCGCATCATCATCATCATCATCATCATCACCATCAGCATCATCATCAGCAGCATCATCATCAGCATCATCATCAGCCTCATCATCATCAGCATCATCATCAGAATCAGCATCATCATTA